TCTTTATCTCACCTGAGCCTCCCAGGAAGCAGCATCTTCCCTTGAATAAACTGAAGCCTCCTCAGACAGCACCAAGAACACTGAGCTCAGGAGATTTCTCCAACACTCGCCCCAGCCCCAACAGCACAGGGGTCCTCATCTCTCTGATGGTTGATAGCCAGAGATTTGGGAGTACACCTGACCTCTCCCGTCCTACAGTCACCATGGTGATTTTACTTCCTGAATCCCACATCAGTTTGTCCTCTCTCCCTTCCCCCACTGCCCTAGTCCAGATGATGCCAGGAACGTGGACAATGGCCTCTTCTCTGGTCACCCTGGCTCTTGCTCTTCCTTCACGTGAATCACCATGCCACAAAACAAGAGGCACGGTTACTAAAATACAAGTCTGATCAGCCCACTCTCCCTCTGCAAACAGATTCCAATGCCCTCAACATCCTGGCCTGCCTTAGCCTAAGCTCCCAGCTTCACTTTCTGCCTTCACGCACTGGCAACACCCCAGTTATCTCAAGTTGCCCCCCCCCATGGGCCCCTCCTCTTCCAGCACTCAGAGTGCCATTCCTACAGCTTGGACAAACTGCTTCTCCCTAGACACCCTCACCCACCTTGTGAACACTGGACCTGTGGGACTCAGATCAAAGATCCCTCTGAGGGGCCTCCCTGACCTTCCCAGATGAGCTAGGAACCCTCTCTGGAGTCACATAGTTCCCTGTTTTTGAATCCCAGAAATCACCCTGTGCTGTGACTATCACGGCCATGTTTTCTCTATTTGCTTCTTTGCTTCTCAATGCCCAGCCCAGGGACCAGCATACACACAGAGCAGGTGCTCCATCAACGCTGAGTGAATGAATGAACTTAACTGCAATGTCACCAGTGCACCCTCTGTGCCAAGGAAGGTGTGTCCCTGGAGGCTGAGGTATGTAGAAGGCACAGGTTTACAAGGTGACATTCAATCTGTCAGCCCCTCCCAGGGAGCCAGGGAGCCTAGGTGGAGGGGATACTCCCCGCCCTAATCCTCAGCCCCACTGGGGAGAGAGGAATGCATCTCCTGGGGTAGAAGTGACCTGGGAAGTGGGGAGGTCAGGCCCCGCCCCTAGGAAGCCAGCAGACAGCTCCTGCAGGCCTCCAACAAACCTCCAACCCCAAGCCAACCTGTGTGTGCACCCTCTTCAAGCTCAGGAGCTCAGGGAAGGGAGAGGTAGAACCAGGATGGTGGAGAGCGCTGGTCTTCCTTTTCTTGAAATAGAGCTGAAGGAACCAAGATTTCCAGCAAGAACTTTCGAGTTGTGCGCTTTTCTGGCAGTCATTGCCTATATACAATCCCATGGTCTCTCCCTCCTGCTCTAGCGAGTATATGCGCACATGCTAATGCGCAAGGTCACTGAGGAATTCACGGCCTGGTTCTCACGCCTACACATACACTTTCAGCAATACATACATACATACATCTTGCATTCCCACTTGCTTACCTCTGAGGACCAAGAGCTCACTCCCTCTGAAGGCCACCTGTGCCCCTGGGAACAGCTCTGGCTTTAGATCCAAATCTCTATCCCTGTCATTCCCTTTGGCCCTGGCTTGTTTATGGCTTTCTACAGGATCCTCTCCTTCTCTCCACCCTACAGCCCCGTCCCTTCAGGTTACCTTGGTTACTCCTGGGGGTCCTATGCTAGACATCTCCTGGGCCCACTTCCCTGCTACCCAGTGCTTTGCTGAGGCCCAAATAGCCCCAAGAAGTTGGAGCTCTGCACCACTGTCTGCTCCCTATGCTCACACCAGCTTCGGGTCAACTGGTAAAGGTCAGAAGAGAGCTGCAATGACAACTCAGGAGTGGCAATTGTGCAGGAGGGAGGCCTGCCTTCTCCCCACTGGCCACACGGCAGGAGTGAGGTGCCCCCTCTCCTGGACCTTGAGGTGCCCCCTCTCAGTCCACTGTAGGCATTCCTGCAAATGAATGTGGAACAAGGGCTGGGCTACCAGGTTCTCTTTTATTAGCCAAGTAGGACAAAGAACAGGTCACAACATCACAGGAAGTAAGACAGACAGACAGACAGATACAAGGGACAGAATATCATGCTGCACTACGCAGGGCCAGGGCTAGGGGAAGAGGATGGTTTGAGTTTTGTTTCTTCAGCTAACAGAATAAATAAATATAGCACACACAGTGTTTTGCCACAGGCTGGCACATTCTCTAAGCACAAATGGTCACAAAACAGCTGGTTTGGAAAGCGGTCTGTACAGAACACCAACTTAAGAGTCAAGGTGGGGACTCGGGCCCCTGGAGCACACCCCAGGAGTAGGGAAGCAGGAAAGAGGAGACCTAATGTAGAAGGGAGCAGAGTAGCAGAAGCTTCCTGGAAATGAGGGTTGGGATTTCAGCCTCAGGCCTTTGGCCCTCAGGGTGGCCCAGCAGGCCTGGGAGATGCTCGAGGATCAGTGGACGGTGGGTGAGGGTCCTCTAACTGCTCAGGTCAAGGACTCTCACTGTTACCTCCTACAAGGCCACCCTCCTCTCCATCTGCTTTCAGGCTGGTACTCTGAATTAGCTTGAGACTCCCCAAAGGCCAGAACCACATGCAACCTTCCCTGCTTTCTCTGGGCTTATGAGTTTGGGACAACTAGTGGCAGAGTGTTGACAAAGATCTGAGGAAGGTAGGATGCACCTCAGAGGGGCCTAGCTGTAGCTATGACAGGATATAGCAACAGGTGGACTTGCCCCTCAGGTGATCAGGAGGTGACCATGTTTAGGGCTGTTGGATTCCAAGGCCAAGCAACAGTCATCTGCACTGATGGACAGACAAAAATTTCCACTCCATGCCTGGTCCAGATGAGATATTATATTTTGGGAATATAACTCCCTGGAGCTGGCCACAGAACTGGTTCCAAACAAAAATGCCTTCTATATCTCCCATAGCCTTTGCCACCATCCCACCCTACTGCCTAGATCTCCTCCTCTAGTGCTCCCATGGCTTTGGAGTCACCTTCCAAATTCCAGACCTCAGCAAGACAACTCAGAAACCCTTTCATGTACTTGCCACAAGAGGTAGGCTCTTTAGCCTGGATTCCAGGCCCCTCAACTGCATGGGCCACATATTCTCATCTCTCCTGCTTTGTTCAAATGTTTTTTCTGGCCCACACCTCCACCTTCCTCATTTTTTTTCCTGCCCAAAGCTCTTTCCATCTGCTCCATCCTAGCATGGCCTCCAAAGGATGATGGGCATGGGCTGCCCTACCAGGGTGCCCATGGGAGGAAGACAACCTTAGGAACCATGACCCTGGCATTCAACTTCTCTAAGCAGAGGGTAGAAGGTCCAGTGGTGAGCCACAGAGAGTTGGGGATGATGACCAGGAATCTACCTAAGCCATTCCCCTCTCCCTTGATGATGGGCATAGAAATAGGGTGACCCCAGAGGCTGGCACTGGAACTCAAGGAAAGCAGGATAAATCCAGGTTGTCTGAACTGGAAAGGAACCATTATACTTAGGAAAACCTAGGCAGTGTCAATATAGACAGGGTCCTGTTTTCAGTACTCACTGCTCCACAGCAAATCAACAGCAACTTCCCAATTTATATATTCAAAGCATTTTGTTGCAATTGTTCCTGATAAATTTAATTAAAAACTTCTATCCTTTGAGATTGCAAGCACAGAATGTAGAATGTTGGACAGGATCTTATAGGCCATCTAATGCAGATGGGGACCTGGTCCCAGCGAGGCTTTGGGCTTGTCCAAGGTCACACCTCTATGAAAGGGGCCATGCTGAGCTAGGCAGCTGGCCACAGCAGGAGCATGCCTTCCTGTGCCAGTGACCAGCTCGACAGAAGCCTCTATTTCCACTGTTGGTTTTGGAACAGGAAGACAACAGAAGCCTGAAAGTACACATTGCTGTGTGGTTCACACTTACTGTAATCAGAATCCTGAGTTCATCCTTCATTCCTGGCTCAGACCCAGCCCAAGGAAGATAGAAACTGTTGAACTTGAAGGCTGCACTGAGATGGGAGCACCAGCCCGATTATCTCTGAGAGTGTTCTCTCTTACCGCCTCCCTACAACCACAGAAATCTTACAGAAGATGGCATTAGAGCCCTGGTCGTACCTGGTGAACACAGGCTATGGAGGAAGGACAGGTGGGCTCTGGACATCTTGCTGCCCACTCTGGCTTCCACTCCCTCTTCCTTGGACTAGGAAATCTGGGCCTCCAAACAGAGGAAAGAACAGAAAGTGGCTCATTCCCCCTTCCAGATGTCAGTGCTGGGGAGGGTGGGAGCGGGGGACAGGACCACCTCCTGCTTGCTGCTCCAGGGTCTCTCTGGGGGCCCTGGCTTCCTGTTGGGGCATGGCATGGAATAGCTGCCTAAAGCAAATGCAGGTGAAGGGAGGAGACAGGCAGGGAAGAAGCCAGGAGGGAAAAAGAGGAGAGAAACAGGAAGAAGAAAAATTATTCTTTAAAAAAACCCACAACCCCAAACAAAATACAGCTGAGGAACTGATGATACCAACACAGCCAGCACCAAAAGGACATCAGGAAGAGACCCGGAGAGATATCGGGTGGGAAAGACAGAAAGGGACCAGGAGGGAGGGAGAGGGAGATAAAGGGAGAAGAGGCTGCAGGGAGCTATAGATGCTGCAGGATGGCAGGGAGAAGCAGGGGGGAGCAGAGGAGGGGCCTGGGGCAGGCAGTGCCTGAAAATAGAGCTTTATATATTTATATTTATATCTCACATTTCACACATCAACTTAGGGGCGGAAGTGAGGGGGGCAGGGAGGAGGCGACACTGAGGAGGGGAGCTAAGCCTGCCCCTACCTCCTCCCCATTCTGCCTCCTGGGGTCCAAGCAGGGCCATGCAGAGGGCGCGTAGTTTTCACCTGGGGCTGCGGCTCTAAGAGGACAAGGAGAAGACTCAGGTCCCCGGGTTCCTGGGCTCTTAAAATGACCTCCTTGAGCCTTCTGGGGAAAACCATGGGACTGGGAGGGGTCGCCCAAGCCCCTTGGAAGCGCGGAAGAGCAGTCAGTTGGGCAGCGTATCAAGTCCTAGGGAAGCTGCATGTTGCTTGGCCCGGAGCCGCAGGTTCTCGATGCTTGTGGTTTTACTGTTCAGGGCAGCAGAGGCTGGTGCCAGGCCTGCAGGGGGCGCAGGCAGCAGCGGGGACCCCCACACGCCCTGGTGGGCAGCAGCGGCCGCGGAAAGAGACTGGTAATAAGACTGGCAGTGCAGGGAACCCAGCGGGGCCACATTGACACCCAGGTAGGGCACGGCAGCCGCAGCAGGGCCCGGGCCCCCCACTTCAAAGGACGAGTAGTGAACCAGGTTGTTGGTGGCTGCCATGTGCTGGCGAAACTGCTCCTGCAGACGGAAGAGGCTCAGCGGGGAGGAGGAATAGGAGTGCGAGGGGCCCAGGAGGCCGCCCCCGGGGGCAGCAGAAGCGATGGCCAGGCTGCCCGGGGAATCTGCAAGCAGAGAACCAAGAAGCAAGGACTCAGGACAAGAGGACTAATCTGCTGACGGACACGCTTTGGCTGAAGGCATGTTGGTTCCTTCCTGGCCAGGGCCTCTCTTGGGAACCCCTCAGAGCCTTGGTGGAAGAGAGACCTGCGGAACCTCCAGGGATCATGCCCAGCCCCCACATCTGCGTCCTTAGAGATCTCCTTTATCTTTTCAAGAGCCATTGCCTGGCCTTCCCCTGCTGTCTGGAGCTCCCACTCCACCCTCCAGCCCTGAGCTCACAGTTCCTGTCTCTGCCTGGGTTTGGTGTTTGTGTCTGAGACATGCCTTGCATCAGAGCTCTGTTCCTTCATATGCAGCTTAGGGGAGGGAGTCTCCAGCCCAGGCCAGCTCTGCAGGGAAGAGATGAGAAGATGGATGCCAACCCCAAAGGGTCCTGTCCTCTACACCCACTCAACAGGAGCCCTCTCCACAAAAAACCCCAAAGGAACCGGACTCCTGAACTGAAAGAACATGGGAAGAAAACCTAAGAAAAGTGCAAATTTAGCTGGATATGGTGTGCATGCTTGAAATCCCAGCATTCTGGGAGGCTGAGGCAGGAGGATAGAAACTTAGAAACTTGATGAGACTGTGTCTCTAAATAAATAATAAAAAGGGCTGGGATACAGCTCAATGTGAAGCCTTGGATTCAATCTCCAGGACTTAAGAAAAATATAGAGAAGGAGAGGGAGAGAGACAGAGAGATGGGGAGGGGGATAGAAAGGAACAGAAAAGAAAAGAAAAAGGGGAATTCTGGGAGAAGTCTCTGCCGCACATGGGACTCCCCAATACTAGCATGGCTTCAGCCAGTATGCACTGGTCCATCTATACTGGCTATTAAAAAAACTGGGGCACTTCAAATGGTTGGTAAAATCATCTTTGCCCTGAGCTCCCCAGTGCTCCTCCTTGCCTCCCAGTCCCTCCCCAGGACCCTCTAGACCAGTGATGGGAACCTTTCACAGCCCTCCATAACCAACAGCTCGCCATGGTGTGCATGCCATAGATTCACCATCACTGATCTAGATTTTCCCACAACTCGGGAACTATAGAGGAAACACCTGGGACAGGTCTACCACTTCTGTGTAACTGGCCTTGCTCCCGAGTATAAGTGTGGATGCTCCCCTGCTCACACATCACAGACTCGGGCCCCGGCAGGCTGGACCTAGCTGGGGCCCCAGTTCACCTGAAGTGTCTCCAGCCTCACCTGCCTTGGGGCTGCCCCTCTTGCAACCCAGCCCCTTGCTGTCAGCTCCAGGACTCTTCTCAGCTTTGGGATCCTCAGCCCCAGCCCGGGGATCCTCTTCACGGTCCAGCTGGTCCTCAGGGGCTGACTCACTAGCCGATTGTTCTGACAGGCTCAGGTGAAGCTCAGCAGGGGCATCACCACTGGGCAGACTTGGGGCCTGGTCTGCCTCCAGCTGAGCGTCTGGGGTTGGGGGCTTGATGTTGCCTTCCTCGTGGGAGCCTTCCATCTCCTTCTGTTTCTGGAGCTGTTCTTTCTGCAGGCTGCGCTGCTTCTTCCGGAACTTAGCCCTGCGGTTCTTGAACCACACCTAAGGACAAAAAAAGGAGCAGTCAGAAGTAGGGAGTAAAGAAGTGGGGATATTGTTGAGTTTTGTGCTCTGGGGTAGGATGTGGATGATGTCATTTCCGGCACCTCTAGGAATCCCACCCCTCCCTCCTTCCCAGGTTGCCTCTCCTGTGGCTGAAGGCATGGTAGAGGGACAGGTGGAGCCGATGCTGGCTCCCAAACAGTGGGGACCACATGGACGGGCTTCTGCTTCTCAGCAACATCTTGGGAGGCTGGGCCTACCTGCACCCGGGCCTCAGGCAGGTTTGTGCACATGGCCAGCCTCTCACGCATCACCACATCTGGATAGTGGGTCTTCTGAAATGTTTTTTCCAGGGCCTCAAGCTGCTGGGCTGTGAACGCTGTGCGGCTGCGACGCTGTTTACGGTGCTGGGAGCCATAGCGGGCTTCCAAGATGATGTCTTGAAATGTACAGCCGTTGGAGGGCAACAAGAAGGGGGCCATTTAATTATGGGAAATAGGTTTTCGAAACTAATCCTTCTCTGACCCACTCCAAACAGCCAGGCAACTGCCAGAGCTGACAGCTCTTTGCCCTTGGTTATTACCTAGCCCCTCTCCCCTGCCTGGGTTTTCAAAATCTCTCCACCCTACTGCCTACTATTATCACTATAGAAGTCTAATTCAGCATCAGTAATAGCTATCAGAGCTGGGTGTAGTGGCACACACCTGTCATCCCAGCCCTCAGAAGGCTGAGACAGGAGGATTGCCATAAGTTCAAGAACAGCTTGGTACACAAAGTGAGTTCAAGTTCAGTTTGAACTACATAACAAGACCCTGTCTCAAAAAAAAAAAAAAAAAAGAGGGCCTGGGATATAGCTGAGTGGCACAGCTGTCAGGAATGTAGTCAAGGTTCTTCTTCCTTATCTGGTTAAAATTAGGGTAAGGGAGTAAGGTGGGACTAAACCTTTAGTCTCAGGAGACTGTGAGTATAATAATCTGAGAGTACATGATGCAAGTTTCACATGACAACGGTCTACCATTTTATGGTCCTGAGGTTTTAGATACTAAAGCTTCCTTAGCATCAGAATATTGGCCCCTGACTGTAAGAAGCCTAGCTGAGGATTGATCCTCATCTCTGGGTCTCCTTTGGGGCAGAGCAGGCAGAATCCGTCAGCCTTGATCTTCTGTTTGTTGCATTGAATCTCGTCCTTTCCGATGACCTATGCATCTCTAATGGCAAGACCGGAGATTCCCGCTTTTTGTTTCCTGGACAGCCTGCTCTGGCAGGGCCCTCAAAGCAAGGCTGGTTGTGCTCACTCTTTTTTTAAATTTATTTTTAATTTTTTTTTCCTGCAGAACCAGGGATTGAACTCAGGACCTTGCGCTTGCCAGGGAAGTGCTTATTCTACTGAGCCATCTCCCCGGCCTCCTCACTCTTAACCCTCCTGGCTGCCTTCCCCAGGACAGAAGGACAAATAGACCAGGTTGCAATGAGTGAGCCTAGAGGTGAGACAAAACTGGTGGGCCATCACTTCTGTGGGCCTGCCCTCATTCTCACCAGGATAATGTCTGCCTCTGGCTGGAAGGTGAAGCCTATGTGCAAGGACCCAACTGGGCTCATCCCCCCTTAAGAGTTAGGGAACTATGGGGTGAGTTGAGCACCCCAGTTCCTGACCATGCCAGTAGACACAAGCCTCTGCCCCTGACCTTGTGCTCTGATCCCTGGGTTCCAAAATACTGACAGGAGCTGATCTGCCCCCAGGTTGAGCACAAGGAACCCACTTCAAGCCAGTGAAGGACTGTACCATACCTATGAGGCCCACTCTGGACACTAATGTCCCATGCTGATTTTGAGAAAATGGCAAGTACTCCATTTTATCCACCAAGTCCTGCTCAGAGGCCTGGCAGGGTCTGAAGGAATGGGACTGACCACCTCATCTTCCCTGCCAGGCTGGCACTTCTATCCAGCTGGGGTCCTCAGGCCCCATCTCATTTCTATGCCTCATCTCCTGCTGGTCCTTTCTCCTTACTGTGCCTTGTAAAAGCCTGATTCCTGCCCAATGGCCTGCAGAGAGCCCTCGCTGATGCCACTGGCTGATCGTGAGCTGCCACATGGTAGACACCTGCTTTCTTCAGAATTTCTCCAAAGTCCTTGAGGACCACCCAGCACAGGGCTGGGCCCACATGGGTTCACCAGCTGCACAAGGGTTCACTTGGACAGGATGGAGGGGTGACATCACCTCCCAGGAAATCAAGCTCCCCAGTATGTCACCGAGTCCTTCTCATGCTCACAAGACATCCAGGGGAAAAACCAGTAGAAGCAGGAGCAGGGGACTCCAGGGACCGCCTGGGAACTTGAATGTGGGTACTAATGAGTTCTGAACACCACTAGGCTCTGCTGAACGTCATGGATGTTTCTCAAATAACCTCTCAGCCATCCTATAGAATGGGCACTACCACTGTCCCAGGGGAGACTGAAGCTCAGAGAAGTGACGTGAGTGGGCAGCCCCTGCACTGATTGTAAATTTGTGATGTCATAGCTCACATTCTTCTGCCATGCTGTCATGTTCCAATCCCATTTTCATCCAAATTTAACCTCTTCTATCCTCAGTTGCCTTGTCATAAGATGGAGATCATTTCTTTTCATGGGAATTAAATAGTTTGATGCAGAGAGAAAGAGAGCTTCAAATGGTTCCAGGCACAGAACTGGTATCCACACCAGGAAAACTGTTATTATTTAGGACTCTCTCTGCCTGAAATTTCCTATCCTGAGCACCCCAGCCCTCTTCCCGCTACTCTCCAGCTACGGGCCTATGGCCTCCTACCTGTCCCATGCCCTCCTACCTGTCTCTCCATCTCTGAGACCGACCTGATAGACACGTTCTTTCCAGGCTTGTCATGGGGAGTTGAAGGCCTCAGGGCCCAGCCTAGTGCTGCCAAAGAGGGGCACTCTGGATATAATACACAGATTTTATAGAAGCACTATTAAAGCAAGCACTGTTTAGATTTTGAATTATCATTTCTGTGCTAAGTGATCTGAGGCTTTCTGTGCCACTTGGAGTACACCTACCCAGTGTTCCCTCCCCCTTCTAGAGCCACCTCCTCTAGCCCCCAGGATCCTGTCCCAGAAGTCCCATCCCCAGGGCTCTTACCAGCCAGGCGCTCAGCCAGTGTAAGCGCGTGCACCGATGGCCGGTAGTCAGGGGCGTGCTGGGCTTGCTGGGCTGCCTGCTGGTGCAGGTTGTACATGGCGCTGAGTGAATTCATGGCGTGCAGAGAGTAGCCATTCACCCCGTAGTGCTGCATGGCGGCATTCGCCTGCAGACAGGGAAGACAAGTGGGGATATAGGGTAGGGCCACTGAACTCTACCTCAGGAGAGACCCTGCCCCCATGTGGTTTGGATACCCATCTCACCCTGAAGGGCTTCTGCCTCCCCATCAGAAAGTGGCTTGTCTTAGGCTGGGGATGCAGTTCAGTAATGGAGCACTTGCCTAGCAGGCCTGAGGCCTTGGGTTAGAGCCCCAGCACTACCATCACCAAAAAAGTGTGTTTTGTCTTATTCACAGAAGGCTCTCCACTTTTTCGTTCATCCACTCACTCATTCAATGACTCACTTAGCCAGGCCAGAGTGATGGTTAATGTTCTGAGCTCTAGAGGCAGACTGCATGTGCCAGAATCTCCACTCTACCACTTAGATTTGTGGTTCTAGCAAGTTAATTAAATTCTCTCACCCTCAGTTTCTCCATCTGCAAAATGGAATTAACAATGGTAGCAATCTCTTGGGTTTGATGCAAGGATTAAGAGAAGCCTTTGCAGTAGACCCTAGTGTACTGTGTGTGCACAAAAATGTTAGTCTTTGTGAGTTCCCAGTCCATTTGCTGCTTTATGCAATCATCTTTTCATTCAATTACCCAGGCGCTTACTTATTTACACATTCATTGACTCAACTGCACATATATTTATTCAACAGACACCTGTGAAGGCCTACTGGCACTGAGTCCAGAGCTGGATTGCCCACTGAGGCATCTGCTGGGATAATATAACAGAGTAAAACCCTAATGTGCTGCATGGACATAAAAATTCTATTACTATGACAGTCACACATTCACTGTCATCACCTCCTTTAAACTCATCTAATCTCCAAGGAGCATGCAGGCCAAGAACAACAAACCCCATTTGCAGATGAGTCTACTGAGACCCAGAGAAAGAACAGTACTGTGCTGAAACCACCCAGCCAGTCCTGACCTGCCCCACCCACAGCGCAGTAGACTAGTTCCTCTGTGGTTGATTGCTCCACAAACATCATCAAAGAATACATCCCCCACTGAGATGTCTTGGTCAGCACAAGACTATTTATGTCCCATCAGTACCAGGTCCTCTCCCAACTCTTGAAGTCCTCCTGTGAGCACCCAGCCTGCATCTGCCTGAAATATCATTTTTGGAATGTAACCCCACGTCTGCAGTCACCCAAAGAGACAAAGATGTTTTCTGTTTCCCTGGTGGGGGAGACTGGAGCCACAGCAGGCCCATTTGATCAGCGGAAGCACACGTCCAGGAGTCGTAGATTGCTACCATCACTGACATGGATACAGGTACACATAACCAGACACTGACAGCACGCACATGTAAACACACAATTGCAGACAAATGCCACACACGTTTCCTGCCCAAATACCCACATGCCGGCGTTGCTGCCAAGGCATTCACAGAAGCTACCCTACCACTCACACAAATGCAGCGTTATGCCCACGGTTTCACACACAGATATTCTCACAGAACTCGTGCAGGAGATACGGCCACACAGACATGCACTCATAAATGACAGCACTCAAGAAGCTGAGGCAGGAGGATCACTGCAAGTTCCAGGCCAGCCTGGGCTACCTAATGAGCTGAAGCCCAGCCTGAATTACATCATGAACCCTTGTCTCGAAAGCACATAAACAAAACAAAACAAAATGTTTATGAAGCACACATCTCCCAAATACCCAAATCCCTAAATTCATGGAATTTACATTCCCAGGAAGGAGGGAGCTATGACAACAATAAGAAGTATCTGTAAAAATGGCAAACAGGAATCAGTGCTCTGGGGGAAAAAAACTGAGGTAGAGGAGGAGTGTGAAAGAAAAAAAAAAAAAGAAAAGGGGAGATTATTTCAGCATATGTGGTCAGAAAAGGGCTCTGACATCTGAGCAGCAGCTGGAAGTAAACCACGCAGAGCTCTAGGGCAAAGGCTTCCTGGACAGAAAGAGCAGCAGGGACCAGGGCCCTGAGGCAGGACCAAGCCAGAAAGCAGGGTGGAGGGAGCAAGGCGAAAGAGGAGCGAGAGAGCGCGGAGAGAGTAGTAGGCTGGAGACAGAAGAGGGGACCAACTTTTCCTAAATCAGGGGCATTCCTGGAGGGAAGTGAAAGAATAAAAAAATCAAGGGCTTTGTTTTGTAGTACTGGGGACTGAACCCAGGGAGTGCTGAGCTATACCCCCATTTGCCCAAACCAACCTCACACCTACAATTCTCTTTCCTCAACATCCAAAGAATTGAGATTGCAGGCATGTGTCACTGTGCCCAATAAAAATTAAAGTTCTAGGGGGCAGGGCAAGTGCAAAATATGAATCCAACTTCCAAGTAAGGATACTGAATTGGCAGCTGGACTCAGGAGTCTGGAGCTGAGCAGAAGTGTAGATTCCTGAGTAAACACTCCAACACCTTCCTACAACATTCCCAGCAAAGCTCACTCTAAAAAAATTAAAAAGCTCACTCTGTATACTGTAAGTGGAACCTCAGAAATTCTCTCTCTCTCTCTCTCTCTCTCTCTCTCTCTCTCTCTCTCTCTCATCTTTTTGAGACAGGATTTCACTCTGCAATCCAGGCTGGCCTTGAACTCACTATGTAGCCCAAGCTGGTCTCAAACTCAGGCAATCTTCATGCCACGGCCTCCTGAGTGCTGGGATTACACTCATGCATCACCATGCCTGGCCAGAGACAGAAATCTAAGAAAAAAGATAGATATAATGGTAAAAAGAATTTAAATATCAGTATAACAGAATACTGCATACCATAAGCAAGCCTAAAAGGTAAACCTGGAAAAGATGTTCATTACATCTATAACCCAGAGAAAATTGATTTTTTATTTTTATGTATTTGGTTGCTATAGGGTCTGACTATGTAGCTCAAACTCATAGTGATCCTCCTGTTTTCAGCCTCCCCCATGCTGGGATTACAGGCATGTGCCATTACATCCAGACTCTATGGCCTGCTCAGCCCAGGACTGGTGCAGCATGTGGTGCTGGGGATTCAACCACCATCCTTGAGGATTTGCCTAAGCTTGCCTAAGCAGGCGCTTTAGTCCACTGAGCTATCTTGCTGGCCCCTGAAATTGATATATGAAAGTAGCATAAATAAAAATAAAGGGGCTGGTGAGATGGCTCAGTGGTCTAGAGCACCTACTTAGAACAAGCTTAGCAGAGCACAGGGACCGCGGTTCAATCCCCCAGCACCACATGCCAGCCCGCCCCGCCCCCTGGTGGGCTGAGCTGGCCACACACACACACACACACACACACAGAAAGAAAGAGAACATCCCTAATATATAGAGTTCTAATATAAAACACTAAATTAGACAACATTTTTTCAGATGATAATCCCATTTTTTTTTCTTAAATTGGGTATTTTTTTGGGTGTGGGGTACTGGGAATTGAACTCAGGACCTCAGGGATAGGCAGAGAGTGTGCTGCTGCGCTACATCGCCAGCTAAGTTTGTCATCTTTGCTCCAAATGCCTTCAGGGCATAAGTTTGTCATCTTAAAAAAAAAAAAAAAAGGCCAAATAAGTGACATGACAATTCATTAAAGGAGAAACACAAATGACATGAGGAAAAGCTCAGCCTTACTTATAACCAAAGAAATAAAAATAGAAACAATAAGATATTTTTTACCAATTTAGCAAATATGAAGAACAATTATTACCCAAGATTATTCAGGGGAGTGGGAAGAGGTATTTCTTTGGACAAAAGAACTCTTTATTCCCTGCATCAAAAGCGTTCAGAAAGCATGTCATCTTTGACGTAACAGCTCCATTTCTAGAAATTTATCCTTCAAGTATACAGAGATATGTGTACAGGGTATTTATCACATCATTGCTTATGGTGGTAAACAATTGGAAACCTAACTGTCCATCGAGAGAGGATTAGTTCAGCAAATGAGGGGGCAGTCTTGCCACAAGGAGATACAGTGCCACAGTTTAAAACAATGATGTGCATCTGTATGTGCTGATGTTTACAATACATTCTGAAGTAGAAGAAATAAATAACAAAACCATATGCGTGATATGATCCCATTTTTATAATGAATAAATAAATAGGCATAAGGAAAAAAGTCTGGAAGGTTGTGCCTTGAAATGTTAGCCAAGGTTATCTCTGGGAGATAGCGGATAGAACTACAGGTAATTTTCACACTTACATTCATTTTCTTCTTCTTCTTCTTTTTTTTTTTTTTTTTTTTTTTTGTGGAGTGAAAGTAGGTGGAGGGTTATCTACGTGTTCTAATGAATGTGCAGTTGGAGCCAGTCTCTAAAAAGCGTAACAAGCTCCAAAAAAGGAAAGAGGAATTTAAAAGTGACATCATCATTCCCTTCCCCAGCCCCGAACACGCAATGCCTATTCCCTCTCACATGCAGGGCTTTATTGCTTTAAACTCACTCATGTTCATGTGGCTACTCATTTTAATTAACATGACTGCTGATCTCAGTTTTTGGTGAATGACATGTCTTTATTAAGTGAAGTCAGAAAAATACCTTGCACAGATCTGTGAATGCCTCCTCATGCCAGCCCTTTGGGAATCTCCCAGATCTTCTTGGTCTGGCTTCCCACACCCCTATATATGGGCTGGCCCTCATCCTCCCTAATACAGCAATACCAAACTATGCCACACCTTGTCCTTTCAATTCCTCACTCCCGCCTGGCTCTCTGTCTGAGACACTCTGCCTTCTTCCCTTTCACTTGATAAATCCCCCTCTTCAGAAGACCTAGCTCAAAGAAACCTCCTCAAAAAAGAGGACATTGCATCTACCTCAGACAAAGCATCTCTCCCCTCTCTGGGCTCCAGAAAAATACACGGGGTCATAGAAATGATGACACTAGCTGTGTATGGTGGCACATTCCTGTAAACCCAGCACAGGGGAGGCTGGTGCAGGAGGACTGCCATGGGCTTAAGGTCCACGAGGACTACATAAGTAAGTTCAAGGCCAACCTGCACTACAAAGTAAGACCATGTCTCAAAAAAAGAAAGAAGAAAGAAAGAAAGATAACAACA